CTAAGGCAGAAAGCCCAGTAAGTAAGCTTCTCTCCTTTTCTGACGCTCATCCTGATACCAGCAGTAATGGTCTTCATTTCTCATCTCTGCAAAGCACAGGTGTACCTGCTTCACTTTTCTGGGCAACCCTGGGCTCCGGCTGTATTTTCCTGTTGTAAGGGTGTGAACACTGAGGCTCAGGAGAAGGATGAGACTGGCCCCAGGGCATCAGTTTTACTTTGTACCATGCCACCCCTCTGTTCTAAAGCTGCAGTGGCCCCCAGCTGTACTCTGAATGCACACTATTCCAGAAGCCTCAGCCTCAGCTGCTTCCTGACCTCTGCTGCAGGTGTGTGGTGCCCATAGCGGGAGCAACAACAGCTAACTCGTCCTGCGAACCTGTTTCCAAGGTATTTTCCCATCCACCATCTCATTAAATGCTTACCACTGAAGTATTTTATTATTCCACTAAGAACTAGGGAAAATGAGGCTGAGGGAAAGGAAGTTGAGGTCCAGCCCAAAGTCAGGCCCAGAACTCAGGGCCCTGATGATGAGCCCAAGACTGATTGAACCTGGAGGGCCTTAAGGTGGGACGAAGTGAGTAGCTGTTCTATCAAGTTTGGGAAGTCCGGCTGTTCCTGGAAGTGATTTATTTCAAGTCTCTCTAGGTAGAGAAGGCTTCTGTCTGAGAAGTGCTGTCTCCAGGCCCATGTCTGGGCCTTTGGTCCAGCACCAATGTTTGCTGAGTCCATGGTGACATTCCTCATGCCACCATGCTCTACTCTGCTCCTTCCTTCAGACTGCAGTGGTGCAGTCTACTGATTTGACCCTCCCATAGTCCAGTGTGTGCAGGTGGTCTCTCTCTCTCTCTCTCTCTCTCTCTCTCTCTCTCTCTCTCTCTCTCTTTTAATCTCGTGCATCCTCTTCCCCAGCCTTTGGTCAAGGTCCTGCTTGTATGGCAGGACCAACCATCTACTGCCACCATTCCAATGAGGTAGGAGGTGAATGGCAGCTAGGAAGGGACACCAGGACATTCCATGATGCTCCAGCTTTCCTTGTTGGGAACTTGATCTTCAGGTTAGAAACGTTATTCCTCTTTATTTGTAACTGATCAGGGCGAAAGAACTGAAAAAAGAGAAAAAGACATATACTCCTCACACACAAACACCAATCATACTCGAATACCTCACTACACGCGCACACACACACACACACAGAGAGAGAGAGAGAGAGAGAGAGAGAGAGAGAGAGAGAGAGAGAGAAACACATCAGACACACCACACTATGCACACCAATATAACCAACCAACATAAAAAAGACATTTCTGATGATAATTTTATTATACAGTGTCATAATGGTGGTCTGCCTGGTCACCTGGGACGACAGCTGTGTGAACAGCAGATGGAGTCACACCCCATGCCCATCCTACCCATTCTGCTTGATTTCTGCCCTGCACTAGCATCTTCAGGAAGGAGGAGAGATTCTTGTTGGGCTCAGCACAGCCTGAACCTCCTGCCTCCCTTTGCTCACTGGTCTGGCAGGCCTAACCTTTTGCTCTGTCTACTCACAGCCCAGTCATGGCCAGGCTGTCCCTACTCTGTAGCAGCTGGCAAAGGTCCTCTTGCATCCCCAACCCTTCCCAACTCCTCCCTAGTTGCTTATGAAAACCAGCCCTTCTATGGGTCCCACTCATTCTTCACTGGCAGTGAAGACCTCTTAGAGGGGCAGGGCTATGGGGCTCAGATGTGGAAATACCTACTTGCAGATTTTCTCCCCAGGAAAGAGAGGTTCTTTGTTTCTCTGTTTTGAGCTCCTCGGTTTTGAATTTTGCTATAGTTTGGCTCTTAAGTGTCCTCCAAAGACCCACATGTTAAAGACTTGATCCCTACCTATGTTGAGAGGTAGTGTGAATTTCATAGGAGAGGCCTGGTAGGAGATCTTTGGGCCCTCTAAGGGGGAACCACTGGATCTGTTTTTATTCTCTACTTCTTGCTGTGAAGTGAGTTGTTTTGTGCCTTTGCTGTCATGCTACAGGTTCAGAGCAGCAGAACAGACTGAAGCCTCCAAAACTGTGAACCGAAATGGACCTTCTTGTGTAAACTGATTTATCGCAGGTGTTTGTTATAGTAAAAGAAAGCTGACTATCACATTGCTCTTCCTTTTGCCTCTTCAGTTTTCTATTTGTCAGGAAAGAAATGGAAATTATCTTGCTGGTCATACAGAATGTCTTCTATCCACCTCCTTGGAGATGGAAGAAGCTGATTTTTCTTCCAACTTTAAATCCTGGGGGGGGGGCAGCCTTCCGGAGATTATTTTTTTCCTGAAAAAAATTTTGTGAATATGATTTGCCCCATCCAGAGATAAGCAGTGCTTACCTGAGGCCATAAAGCAGACCAACGCCCAGGTCTGTTTTCAGAGGACTGCAAGACAGGGTCTGGGGATTTCATCCCAAGAGACTAGCCTAACTCCACAGTGGAGCTAGGGTGGATTATCAAACTCCAGATGTTCTGAGTGAGAGGGAGGGAGGCGGTGGAAAAAGAGCAAGGACACAGGAATGAGAGGTCAGGAGAAAGTGTGTGTGTGTGTGTGTGTGTGTGTGTGTGTGTGTAAATGTGGGGGGTGGGCAGAGGGAGGGGGAGAAAGAACAGAGACATCCTGTGGGGCTCCCTTCTCCATGGAGAGTTCCCAGCATTCTCTGCTGGAGAACTGTTACCTTTCCCAGTGGGTGTGGGTCCTAGGAAGGTCTCCCCTTCAGTGAGCTGAAACCCACCTTCCAGTAGCTTCCTCCATGTGTCAGTTGCATTGTGAACTTGTTAATAGTAGTATAGAAAGGTCTCCTGTCTGGGGCTGCATTGCAGAGAGATGTGGCTGTGGTGGTGTCTTCCACTCTAATGATTATTAGATTAATAGCCATGCCTAGAGTTCAGGAGGGGAAAGTCTGGGCCAGCCTTCCTGGTGGGTAGAGCAAAGCCTACAGTATATTAGGTACAGATATGGGGTGTCCCCTCTTGTCACCTATTGCCATGTAGAAAACAGTATGGCAGGTGCCTGGGGAAGTTCTTCTTAGTTACTTGTCCTATAATGTCTCATTTCTGGGTCACAGCTTTCTTCAGAGAGTACTTGAATTGAGGAACAAGGCTCCCAAGAGGGAGGGAGGGGGAGGGAGAAGGAGGAAGGAGGGAGAGGAGAACAGAGCACAGGGTTGGTTCCATAACAGGAATCCTCCTACCATTGATGCCACTGCAGAAGACCTTAACGGGCTGGAACAGGGTACGGCTTCCTCCCAGGAGCTCCTTCGTGCAGCTGTCAGGAACAGGGAAGTCCTGGATGGGTTCCAGGACATGTCTGGCCTCATGGAATACTGACCTCACCCACCTGTTCTGAAGTGTAGGTGCTAACACTTTCTTGTCCACTTCATAGCCATAGTTCCCATCCCCAGGATAGCAGAATGGGACTGGCTTGGGTCATGACTGTCGGTTCTGAGACTGGCACACTCACCAAGTCGTGTTACTTAACATGTCTGTAGCTCAGTTACTTCATCTTTAAAGTGGAGCTAAGGTAAAGAAGTTCTGAAGATGAGAAGATTATAGATACACCACAAATACTCCGTAAGTGTTAGATACCAATTGCAGCATTAATATCCATGCCTAGAAATGGGCCCACCATGACTGCATTTATTGGTCCACAGTTCAACAAGTAGGCTGTGGTGGCTGGGCACTGAGCCCAGGGACCTGGTCATCTCCACTTCAGCACTGGGATTACAGATGTGTACCACCATGCCATGCCAGGCTTTTTTTTTCTTTTAACAAAACAAAACAGGGGCTCTAGGGTTTGGACTTAGGACTTCATGCTTTACTGACTGAGCTATCTCTGCAGCCCATGATGACTTTCAACATTTTAGTGGACATCTCCTTTATGCCCAAGTTCTGATGATGTTCCTGGTAAAACTTGCAGGTCCCAGGAGCTGACACTGGATGCTTCCATGTGATGAAGCAGAAAAGGTTCAATGTGTCTTATTTGATAACCCCGCCCCCCATTCTTTCCTTTTTCACGGACTTCATGATTCTTCTACAAGGACTCACTATAGACAGCGTCTATGTGGCAGCTATCAGTCACTGTGCTTGGAAGTGACAACAGAGAGGTGCACTGTACTGGAACCAAGAAGAAGAGAGAACATGCCAACGATCTCAGCCCATCCATCCATGAGGTACAGAGAGCTGGTGGAACAAGTGACCAGCTAGGTGTGGGGGGTTAGAAGGTTTCTTGGAGCAGGGACTGCTGGAGCTGGGGTCATATAGGATGCCGTGGGTGAGATATGGAGATGCAGGGAGCCTGACAGCACTAGCAACAACATGTGCTAAAACAAGCTGGACAATGCCAAGAAGCAGAAGGCACAATCAATGACTGTGGAGTGTTTCGTCCTGGGAGAGGGACTGCAGAGGTGTTTTCTTGCTGGAAACATAAGTAGGAGCTGTATCTTAGAGGGATTTGGATGTCTTTTGCCAACAATATTGGGGAGGTACTTAGAGTGCTCAAAGCAGGGAAACACATGGTCATTTTTGTGGTTTGCAGAACTCACTTTGGCTTCAGGGGAGAGAATAGACTAGAGGTACATGGATGTGGCTGGCAGAACTTTCCCAGTAGGCCTGAGCCAAGGAGAGTCACAGAGAGGAGAGGCAGGGAAAGTAACCAGGAGTGGTAACAACTCTGATGGAAGAGGAAGCTAGCAGAAGGAGGTTCTTCTAGCAAAGCCCGGGTTCCAGTGGTGTGTAAAACAGCTGCACAACTCTTGCTCCAAACGTGGGCAGCTCCCTCTGCTTGGCAAGGGTCATACATACTGCCCAATGCTGGGCCCTGCACCTACAAGTCACCTTCTCAGCCCAAATCTATGCATAAAAATGGGGTCACTCACATTTTCTATGCCACAAGTCATAGGCCCTGGCCCTCACAAGCCAGGTAATTCCCCAAATGTTCCTGCAGAAGGAAAAGGTGGTGAAGTTCAGCACATGGAAACACCAGGGTTAAGTTCATAATATCTTTTATTAATATATTATGCTACAAAAATATTTTGGCAAAATAACATTAATAGCATCTTTCTTTGTCTTCTATTATACTCTTAAAGAACTCTTCATGACAATTCACAGGGGTGAGGGAAGAGGTGATAAAGAACACCACAAGTATGGCGAGAGCTGAAGCCAGCTTGGTACATTGAGGCACAGTGGGATAGCCAACAAATCTGAGACTTAGAGCTGGGCAAAGGTTAAGGCCAGCCTCCCCATGGAGAGCCAAGAGCTCCACCCACCCAGCTTGGCAACCAGAGAGACTGCTGCCTAAGAGTCCCTGGTCTCTCACACCAGGCCCTGTAGACTTGGATCCCATTCAAAACCACATTCCCCAGGGCAGGTCTTAGGATGGAGGGAGCCTTTAAGTAATGCTTTCTTGTCTGTCACATGCTCCCGTCATGGCAGCCTGTGGGGCCTACATGGAAAGCTGGTCTAGGGAAGGGTGGAAACTCACTTCCAAGGAGACCCAAGATTATACACAGAATTCCCTTCCCGGCCCCAGGAAACTCTCCCTATGGTCCATGAGGAAATGGAGGCTCAAAGAGGGGCAGGGGTTTACCCTAGGTCAGCAAGAAAGGGAAGATGCAGGCCACCTCAAATGAAGAAGGATCCCGGTCTGCCTTTGGAGACATGCTGTGAGGAGCTAACATTCCCTGGAAAGGGCCAGGAAGGGGCCCCTGGGTCCTTATAAGCCCTGCCTTTCCATCCTCTGTGTTGGGCTCAGACAGAAGGGCTGTGGGATGGAGCCATGGGCAGGGGTTCAATCCAGTCCTCTCCTCCCCAAGAGATCCCATGCCCAAGGGCTGCAGGCATTTCTGCCAGTTCATGGCAAGTCTGTCTGGGCTGTGGAAGAATGGGGGAGGGGTGAAGGGAGGCTTGACTGAGTCCTGCATCTACCGGCTTAGACAGCCAGCCAGGGTGATATTTTTGGCTGCTTAGATGAATTTTTGGAAAAATAACAATGTTTAAAGAACCTGAGCCTTACAGAGCCAGGGGGCACTGCCATGTCATTTACACCAGTCCTTTGCCAAGACTTCCAGCTGGCGACCACGGCTTTAGCCAGTGGGCCTTGGGGCCTTGCATACTATGCCTCTCCCTCTCCCTCCCCCCAGAGAGCTCTGTTCTCAGGTGCTGTCCTCTACCAGCTGGGAAGGTGGAAGCTGCTCCCAAAAGAAAGCCAAGGCTTTCTCCTTTCTAAGCTTCAAACTTCTCTTCTTCATTTTTTGGCTTCCTTTTCTCCCTTGTCCCTCTCAACACATCTTTGGAGTATCACCTTTGTGCTGAAGGACAAAAACAAAACAACAACAATGACCAAAAAAAAACAAACAAACAAACAAAAAAAACTGGCACATGACCTACCCCATCGAATTGCTTGCATTCACAACAGGGAGCAAATTCATATCTAGACAGCCCGTTTCTGGAATGTGGGCATGGTAATAGGTACTGGGACTGCATAAAGGGCTCCAGGGGGACATCCTGGAGCTAGTGTCCTCTGGGTTATCCTTCTAGGATAAATGGCTGGGAGAAGAGAAGAGAGCTTTCCCTGGGGAGCAACATATATAAAAGACTGCATAGTCTAGAAATAACAAATATGATCCCATCTGTCAGGTCAGAATGGGAAGGATGAGAATGGCCAGCAAGATCAGCTGAGCCAGGTCACAGAGGGCCTGGAACGCCAAGTGGCGGAGCTGGTGTTTATCTCATGGCTATCACTACCCCAACTCTGCTTTTTGCCATCCAGGATGTCCTCTAAGCTACAACTCCTGCATAGAATATCACCTTTTAAAAGACATTCTCTTTTGGTAACAGTTCTCTTCTTTGGGATCTGTTGTGACAATAGTACTAGGTGGAGTGGTGTGACTGAGCTCCCAGGCTTGCCCAAGTCTAGATGAGGCCAGGAAGTAGCAGGTGACCACATTCCATGTGAGGAGGATGTTCGTGGGTCACCTAGTGTGAGATGAACATTCCAAGTCTCCCTCAGTCCACACATGGCAGACTCTGGATCTTTGACCCTGGGGACTGGCCCCTGCACCTCCCTGATTCTTTTACCCTCAGCATGTGCTGGTCACTTAATCTGCTGGGCCTCTGGCCTTCCATCTTTCTGTCTGCCTCAATGTCAAAATGAAAGTCCTAAAACTACGCAAGGAACTCTCAAAGGAATAGGGCTTTGTGTTTTATGAGTCCAGCTCGATGGGACATGAAGTCTGAGAAACTGTTGATGGATTACTGGCATTTTCAGAGCAGGATGGGAAGTTTAAGTGGCCTAGCCAGACATTCTGTTTTTGTGCCTAAGGTCTCCTGGGATGTTGGCTATCAAAGTTGAATTTGCTCCTTACTCCAATCCTGGCTTAGTAGAGATCTCCAGAGATCAGGAAACTTTGGCCCTAGATGTCTGACCAGCAATTGCTCTCTTTTTAAAGTCCATACCACCCTGGAAATTTGTCAGTCTGATGGCCTAGCCCTTTCTTCTTTCCATTATTTTTCATAGGGGGTCTGGCTACGTGGCTCAAGCTGTTTTAGAATTCACTATGTATCCCAGGCTGGACCTCAAACTTACGATGCTCTTGCCTTAGCATTCCAAGAACATTCATTACAGACATATGCTGCTAAGCATGGCACACTGTCTTTCTTCAAAAACTTTAAAGTAGGGTTGAGGAAGAGAGTTTGGAACACTCCTTTCACTTCTAATCTTCCTTAAGAAGGGATCTGAAAGACAGTGAGATTGGGACTGGGACAGTAGTAGCCCAGGATGGCCCCACCAGTCCCACCTTGATGGTGAACTCTTCTGGGCCCAGGAGGGTGGGTACAATTCAGCCTGTATGTGTAACCCTGGCACCATGCTTCCCCAGTGATTACATGCTGCATTAATTCACCATGTTGGCCCTGCGCCTGGCACAGGTCTGGGCACACAGTCAGGTGCCTGGACTGTTTCCCCAAATGCTTCATCTTTAATTAACCTCAAGCTTGATCTCCATACATCTCATGCCATACTCTGCCCCAAACAGGGGAATCTGGCCTGTGTGTTTCCAATTCCTTTACACTTATCTCATCCCAATAGCGCTCTGCACAATCCGTTTGATGTCTAACTTCTGAGCCTGCTTTAAAAGTCAGCTAAGCCCCTTCCCGCTCAGCAATAGGAAGTCACATTTTTTTCTTTTTTTTGCCAAGGATAAACTGACTCCAGTCCTGGTTGAGGTCAAGTTCAGTTTACAATGTGGTGCCCATGGGGCTGGCGGGACCCTGTGAAGCAGAGTTCCAGAATCCTGCCAGGTCTCAGGCTTAAACCTGCCCACTGGGGCAGAGCTGGAAAGAATTCTGCCGCCTGCCAGGATGCCTGTGGGACCCCTGACTATCCAATGAGTTGCCCAGAATCCTGCCATCTCAAAAGGGAGATGTCTGCCAACCAGAGCATGGCAGTGCCTCAGCCAACCAGGCGCCATCGAGCCTGCCAGCAAAACCCATGTGCAGTGAGGTGAGAGAACAGGACTGGAGTCAACATGCCTGCCCCAGCTATGGCACCTTGGAGAAGTCTCTCCTCTTTCTGGACCTTTGTGTTACTCTTATTGCTATTGACAGGTGAGGGGTCTTCCCTGCTCTCAGGACCCAGGACTCCTTAAATAACCAACAAACCACAAGCCCAGCTTTGAGCTGTAGGCTGAAATTCAGCCCACACTGACCTACTGTGTCCCCTTCAGCCCCTGGGGACAGAAGGATAAGTCTCAACTCCCTGCCTGCCGATACTGTCTGATCATCCTGCTAGAGCCCCTTGGCCTCAGGAACCAGCAGGGGGAGCTGGTGAAACATCCCCCTTGCCTGCCCTGGGAAGCCAGGGAGGGTTCCAGTTTGGGGGCTGCATCTCCCCAGGCATTTCTCCAGATAGGAACAAGGACAGAACACAGTCCAAGAGACAAGGATCATTCTTGTATCACACTGATCTGGGGTGGGAAGTAAACCTTGGGTGGATCTTTCCCCTTCTTTGGGGGCTTCAGTGTCATTGAAATGGGGGTCATCACATCTCACAGAACTAGTGTGAGGATCTATGGAGAAGGGAGAGTGCAGAGAGCCCACCTGCTGGCTTCTGACTCGTGGCCCTCTTTACCATTGTCATTACCAGGACTCCTGAACTCCATCACCCCTAAAACCATCCTATGACCACTCCTGCCCTTTTGCCCAGCTCACTTCACTCAGCTGGGGCCAGCCCCTCTTAAATGGAAGCTGGACCGGTGCCACTGGAACATAGATCGCCCACTTGCTTTGTGACTTTGGGTAAACCCCATTCACTTTTTGGGTCTCAGTGTAGCTATCTGATCACAGGACTGAGTCCACCTGCCTCAGCACCAATCTCCCTCTTTGATGGAAAAACTCACCAGGAGCTCTGGAGGGCCAGTCCACAGATGCTCAGGACTTCAAAATAGCAGCATTATTTTTTTCTTAAATTGCCCCCCCCCAGGGCCTGGACACATCCAGGGATGGGAAGGATGGTTGGCCACCATGCCTCTGGTGAAATTCAGCTTCCCCAAAGCATGGGGCTGCCCTTAGAGGTGCCTAGAGTGGGAGAAGCTTGGGGCCAATTCAAAGCCATAGTCAACACAGGTCACAGAGGTCACGGGAACATGGGCTCCTTCCCTGGGGTTGGTGCTGGGGCTAATTCAGGGACTACAACATAGGCTACATAAAAATAGTTTTATCGATAGAATAAATACACTTTCTCTTTTAATATGGACACATATTTTACAAATGAGCCCCATAGCACTATGGGAAATTAAGACCTTCTACAAAAAAGAAGATGTAATTTGGGTACAATAAAGCTCTAGTGTTTTAAAGTCCCTGTCCTGTGTGAACTGCCTTGAGGTGTCAGCACCCTTTGAGGTGGTGTCAGATGGTGGGCATGGTCACTCCTGTGGTTCCTCTGGCTTCTCTGCAAGGGTGGTCAAGGTCAGGAAGGCCCAAGGGTGTGTAGGATGAAGGGGGCAACAATGGTGGCAGCGATTGCAGGGGGGAGGCCAGGTGTAGGTGCCGAGTTGCTGGTAGGCCCCGCAAGGTCCTGCTGCTGGAGCTGGTGTGAGGACTTGACAAAGGGCTTGGTGGTCCCGGAGCCGGGGGTAGGCTGGAGGGGCAGCGGGGGTGGCGAGACAGTGGTGCTAGAAAGAGGAAAGAGTGACTGTCAGCACCCTCCTCCTAGGAAGAGAGCTTGGGGTGCAGTTTTATATTTACCAGACACCTTAGGGAAGAGCAATAGTCTAGAACCCACATCTAACTCAGCTGACCTCCAAGTACAGGCTGGGCCCACCTGTGACCAATCATGAGGGTGGGTCCCAGGCAGAAACAACTGCAAAGTCGTGGAGGAGGTATCTCTGAGGTTCCCGGAGTATAGATTCCACCTGTCTACAGGTGTTCTGCCCCTTGTTGCTCCTTCCAAGGTTGCTGAAGGTGGCAGAACACACACACACACACACACACACACACACCCCCACACACACAC